TATATATATATATATACAAGACATTGTATTCTTGTTGTTACAAATGGGCAACATTACAGCGTATTTGGGTTTGTGTTTACTGCAGTACGGCTTGGATCGAATCCTGGGGGAGGAGAAAAGTCTTGCGCTGCTGGCAAGAGCCATTGATCCCACCCAGTCTGCCATGATGACTGACGTGGTAAAGCTGCTGTCAGCCATCTGCATTGTGGGCGAAGAGAACACGTATGTTCTGACCTCATTCATTCTGTCAACATATCAATGCTTTACTGCTTTGTTAGGGTTGGAAGACATTTTTGATTTCACAAAAAACAATAAAAAAATTTGTAATTACTTCAAAAGTAATTTTCAAAAATACAATATGCATTTTCCAGTATTACAACACGTCTAGTTGAATAGGTAATCTACATTTTCAAATTGATTATGTAATTCATTACACATTTTATCCGTTTAATCCTTCTCAATTTGACAAATTCACAAGAAAGGAATCATACGGTGGAATAGGACAGAGCTCATGGTCACCATCCCTGAAAATGAAAATATCTTTTAATTTTTTTTCCCAATTCTTCGCTCATGTATTTAATGTTTTCATTTAGTTTGGAAAAGGTCCTTGAAGCTATCACCACAGCAGGGGAATGGCGAGCCATTGAGAGGTTCAGTCCCATTGTGCAGGGACTACAAGATCGCTCAGTTCAGTTACAAGTAAGTGCAAAGTACATGTACAGCTATTGACATATTGTTTCCCTCAAATTACTCTGAAATGAAATATTAAATATAAAGTATAATAAGTAGATGGGTCCATTTGCTTTTTGTGGCCACCAAAGTTTCTACTGCACACTTGAAACGGGAGGGTGGGGCAAGGGTGTTGCAATCTGCAACTAGGTAGCTAGATGCCACTGAGTCCTACACATGGGTCATTTTAAACCAACGTTAATATATTATAAACTCCGAATTCTTTCTGATCCACTTTGTAGTTTGAGAGGGTTTTACCAGTCTAATGATACTGCATCATCTTATGCACTTCCTTTACATAATCTTTCAGATATATCTTCTCCCTGCTGATACATGCCCTTTTTGAGATATAGCACATGGGCTGTTTTGTGTCACACTAATGTAATTCGTGATTAAAGTATGTTGTCTGCATTTTTAATTGGTAGCTGAGGGATGTGAAGAGAGTGATCATTCATCCAATACCTACCACACACTCACACACACGGTCATCATAAAACTCTGCCATGTACAACCATTTCCTCCTTTGGTTATTTAACTTTGCGTATGCAATTTCCAATGCTAAACTTAATTAAAAGATTGTATCTTTTTTGCCCCCTGTGGTATTATCTGTATTATTTGCATTGAGCTTACTGTTACTACCTTTGACAGCTGCAAAACTGTAGGGACACTCAGTAGTAGTGAAAAATGGTGAGGGAATGAAGGGAGGGAGGGGGCGCACTGGAAGCTATAATTTCCTTTATACAGAGGCATTAAATACACAATACTCATCTTTGGCAATACAAACTTAACCCTTTGTACTCGGAATTTTGTAAGGACTTAGTTGTCTTTTATTGATACTTGGTTTATTTCCCACTTCCTAATATATAGCACAGTTCCTTTTAACCTCATGCATTATTAAATCACAGATACTGTTATCCTAAGAAAAGCAATGTGTGTCCAAAGGCTTTCTGTCCTAGGTTGACTACATTCTTACAGTCTTCACTGGCAGCCTTTGGCTTAGGGAACGTGTGCATTTAGACAATGAGTGTAAATAGACACATGCAGGGCCGCCAAAATCAAAGATGCTCAAATTTTCTCTTAAAGTCTTCAGAGTGTTTTTACGTATTTGTGTGGTACCTAATGTATGTATTGTTCTGAATACAAAGCTAGTAATAGATACATGTAACATCCATTTATAAATTATTAAAATGTCTGATGAGCTGGAATCAAATTACAGTCATCAAATACTTACATTGCGTCTATGTTGTTTTGCTCATGAAAAATAAAGTAAAGCATTGCAGTAATCTCTCTTGCTCTCCCTATTGATTATGTACCAAAGGATGTGTGGAATATTGGAAATGGAATTGGAAAACATCTAAATATCCTCCCTGAGCTCCAGCATTGCCATACCCTCTTTTCACACATGAGTGGATTGCTTTACTGATCAATAATTGATTTTTCTGTCCGTGTTTGCCCGGGTAGTTGAAGAGTCACAGGATGCAGTGCTCCCTGTGCAGTAAACCAAACTCAGAGGGGAGTGAAAAACAGCTTCCAAAAGAGCGAGTTTGCCCTTAAATTGACTGTTAGTTAGTTTTGTGCGTATGGGTCGGCAGTTGTTGCATTAATATTAAAATCAGCCCCCCTAGTTGGTGACTGGAGAAAATAGACATGCATTAGTTATGGTCCTCTGCTTCCAAGGGACATAACTCATTTAGAATGCATGCCGGCAAGCTTTTCATCAAGTTCTGGAAGAAGAAGTCCGTCATCTTTTTCTCTGGTTCTCTCTCTCAATCTTCTCTCTCCTCTCTCTCTCTCACTGTTTCTTTGTGCTGTGTACCCTTCATGTTGCAGGTGGCATGCATGCAGCTCATCAATGCACTAGTAACATCTCCTGATGAGCTGGACTTCAGGCTGCACATCAGAAATGAATTTATGCGCTGTGGCCTGAAAGAGATATTGCCGGTAAGCACAACATAACCACACACACACACGCGCACACACACACAATATATATATAAACTTACACTCACCTTGTATTAATATTTAAATGAGTTGCCCACTTCAGTGAAATATTGTAGATTTGCTCCAGCAAATAATTTATGAAACACAGAGGATATTTTCCACGTCCTCTGTCTGTGCCAGCACCCAGACACCAATAAAGTTTCTAGTGCCTGGACTAATAATCTTCCTTCTGGCTTTTATACCGTCTACCTAACATGTTTATCTGTTGTAAACAATGTTGCTGTAGCTGCCAAGAAATCATAAATTAAAGTGAGGTGTGGGTCCCCTCACCTGTTTAACGTGATGAGTAATAGTGTTTAGAATGAGCTACTTCTCTTCAGTTGAGCTTAATGCTTCCCTTTCAGTGCTGATGTTGGAGAGGCTGTTGAGCCATTTTCTATTATTTGGTTTGTGTAATTCTTCTATCTCTTTGAATCTGTTTTACCTTTTGTTCCTTTTTTTAACTAGCAACTGGCAACCATCAGGAATGATGCCCTTGACATTCAGCTGAAGGTATTTGAGGAGCACAAAGAAGAGGACATGATAGAGTTCTCTCACAGGCTGGAAGACATCAAGAGCGAGCTGGAATATCCTTTTCATTACCAACAGGAGCACTCTGGGGTTTCCTGTAAATGTAGCTAAAACATTTGAAATGTTCATGGAATCCAGCTAAGGTTAGTTATTACTAAACACATAGTTCTGTAATTATTTTTTTATTTCAGTAGCTTCCATTTTTGATGAAAAAATGCAGTGTTTCAGTTTACCTACAAGTCCTTGACTCTCTGCACTGATGCGGGGGATGTATTCAGTATTGTGCAGAGCATGGTGAAGGACAGCAATGCAGAGCCCTATTTCCTCTCTATACTGCAGCACCTGATGCTCATACGCAATGACTACTTGATCAGGTAAAACTCAACAACACACATAGACAAAAAGAACCTTAATTATCTGTGTTGTGTAATGAAGCAAGCAGTTTTTTTTACTCTTCATCTTCCTCTTTTAATTCATTCATTACGCTGAGGACACACAATAGGTGGAAGTTTTGTGAAGCACTGCTTTCAGCCTCCATGTTAACCAACTGGGCCGTTCAGACAAGAGTGCGCCGCAGTGCGGTGCTTCTTGGCCAGCTTGCGATTTGCATCAATAATTTTGGCATCTGTTTTGTGGTTTCTGTGCGCTGTGAGGGAATCTGGCAAAAAAGCACACTAAATAATCTTTTTAAACAATATAATTGATATACCCGGTATCTGATATACATAAACTGATTCTAATAAATGATGAACTGGCTTCTGCTGGAGTTTAAATTCCTCCAAGTCGTTTTACCCCACGTGATGAAATATCAAACATTCCCATTCCTTTTTATTTTTTTTTAAATAATATCACTGCCTTTTTCGATTATGTTTCTTAAATTAGATGCCTATTTCCCATATTTTTACGAGTACACAATACACACACAGACAGGCAGGAGAAACGCCCCTCCCTGCAGATCACACAAAGCGATGCTCCTTAATTGTTGCAGAAGAAGTGATGCTCTGCTTCTTCATGAACACATAATTCATGAGGTTATTATGAAGATCATCTTTATATGTGATTAGAAAAGAGCAGAGGAACAGAATCGATTGTGCAGAGGAATGCACTTCTGGTGTGAACAACCAGGCTGCTTTGCTTCCTGTGTGTCCCTGGCGTTATGCTCTTCTCTCATTTACCCTCGGTGTGTACGTGTCTGTGACTTGGACTTTCTGTGATTCTTGTTTTTTCAGCTCTATTCATTAGCTCTTTTATTTTCTTCATAGACTAGAGCCTTTTAGCTCTAATCATAGGAACAGTAATATAACTTAGTCTGTGTGATAATAAGATGATTGACATATAGTGTTTTAATCTCACATTTTAGCACAATGCACACATAAGCAAAAGTCTAAGCACCTTTTGAACATTGGTAATGATGTACATTGGTGAAGAGCTTTTGTTTTTTTAGAGGTCTCACTCCTTCTGCCTTAAAACATCTCAGTGACATTGGCTAACAAAGAGAATGCTGTCTCTTTCATCTCAAAGCCATCTACAGCAACCATGGCTCCAGAGTATTACTCATCTCCTATTAATGGTACTTTTCAAAGGCTTATTTTATGTTGGTTCACTCACAGCTGGGTGTGAGTTAAACCTTAGATTGATCAAAAGATAGAGCTCTAATCTGAAGAATATGAAATGCATCACCTGCAGTTTTTCTCCCACCCAAAAACAACACTCAAAGTGTCTGCCACTCTCCCCTGGCTCCGTCTGATTAATTTTCTCCATCTGAAATTAATATGACAATAACACTGGTGTCTTTATGGCAACCAACATTGGTGCCATCTATTTTGTAACCATTTTGAACAGCATACAAATATTTACTGCACATATGGACACAAAGACACTTCCAGGGCCAAGAGGCATTTCATACTTTTTTCTTTTTCTCTGTTTACAATAGCACAACCACAGCTTGTAACTATTAGTAGTTTCCCACTGTGTTGAAATCGGGCCTGGATGCTATTCGAGTTTAGAGTAATGTTATAATGTCAGCTGCTCTTTTATACTGGGTCTAGGGAGGTGTCCACTTCAGCAAACCCTCCAAACTTGTTAACCAAGATAGCGTTACGGATGACATTCGTTGGTTGTCATCCTAAAAGTTTTTCTCTTGAAAGCATATTGTGTAAACAGTTGAGCTTAAATCTGACCTTTGTCTTGCTTGTTCAAGTATGTACAGTAGTCGGCTAAACAGGGTTATTTTAGAATGAAAGTCTCATATAACATTTGTCCTTATCACACTTATAACACTAGGGGTTAAGTACTTCTACACTGAAATACATATACATAGATGAGAATGGTCATAACTCAATTGCTGTTTTAACCATTGACAGTATATATAGGTTTTAAGAGGTTTTAACCGTTTGGATAATGGTTTTATAGGTTACGTCATTTATTAAGCAAAAATATTAACATTTTTATGGCTCTTTGTTGTAAAGAAACAAAGTGAGGAATTCATCCTCTTTCTGTTTTTTATTACTGTAGCCTGGAAATCTTTGTACTTTGGTTGGACAAATAATTTAAAACTGTCAACATGGGCTTTGGAAATTGTGATGACCACTCACGGCCTAAGCAGCTATTAAATTTATCAAAAGAAGTGCTTGAGTGCAGAGGTGGATAAATAGATACACTTAGAAAACGTGTGTGCATTCACAACAATGTCAAAAGTATTTGGGACTGAGTTGTGGCAATAACTTTTGTTTTAGTTTCAGTTTTAATTTTTTCTTCATAAACTTGTGAGGAATGGCAAATCACCAGGACACACTCGTGAACACACACTGTATATATTTAACTTTAAAAAATGTGTTAATTGTACAAATCTGTAGTTAAATGGCATGGATGATTGTATATTTTTACCCTCATTTTCACACCATATGGTGTAGCTCTTAAGACTGTTTTTAGTTGGTAAGTATTTGTTTTTAGAAAACATCACAACTTTTCCTAAGGCAGTTCCGTACTCTTGATATCATTATTTTTTCAGTGGCATCATATCTGTGTGTGTGATCCTTTTAATGCACTGCATCTCTCGCGACAGACTGGTGTAGTGATCTTTAGTTATTTAATTCTTGATACCCTTGATGTCAAGTATATATAGTCCTCTGGTACACAGGAGTAATGAAAGGAACGCCAGCAGCTTGACTGACAACATGCCTTATTCCATTTGATTATTAATATTTTTGTCTTCATTCAAACAATGATTCCATTGTGCAGCCCATCTTCAGAATCACAGAAATGGTATTCATCATCATTGTCAGATCCAGTCTCAGCATTGTTATAGAAAGAGGTGGCAGACAGTATCCCTGACTTATCGCTGTTTATAAGTCTTAAAGTATTAGTTAATGATTTGGTATAGAAGGGATTTGGACTCTCAGTGGCATTGTTGGAAGATAATGAGCAGATCAAACAGATACTTTCCCTTTAACTTGCAGTAGCTCTGCGGCTCCCAGACCTGCATGTCATCTGTTGTTGAATTATAATAAGCCCCTTTTCTTATTGTGGCATGCCCTTGGTTATTCTGTGATCAACACATTTCACAGAACCATTTGAAACAATTTAACTGCAATTATTTCGCAACTGCTAATAGGTTGGTGTATATACGCCATTTTATTGATGTGTTAGGAGTGTGTTAATGGGTATTTTTAAATTTTAGCATTTCTAAAAAGACTTTAACTTGTGAAACATTACTAAACAAAACACTCATGTTGGTCTTATGAAGTCAAGAATCAAGAATCAACCAAGACTTTTTCTGCGGTCTATTTCCTTCACATATTATTATTGTGTCCACCTATTTGGGGATGTAGGTTAGGTGTTGAAAAGTAGAATTCTGGATCGATCTGATTCTCATGTCAGCAGAGTTAATGATGATGTTCAAGCATGTAAAATTGATGTGATGCTCTTCAAATTTCACCCATTGTATGAACATCAGGCTTTGATTTGACTCAATAATACATCAGGATGTTAAGAAGCTCTGACTTGGAGCCTCCTGCTATGTTTAAGATATCTGATATATGATGCAATGACTGGTTGCACAGATAGAACTGTAGAAGTTGTTTGGATATGCCACATGTTATATCCTCTCACTAGCATTGCTTTTTCTGCTGCAGACAGTTCACTCACAACTGAATGTGTCAAGATAACAGCTCTTGCATACACCCAACAGATTAAAAGTATGGTATTGAATCAAATTAAATTATGTATGTTTTTTTAACTTTTTCTCTTTGCTTTCTTTTACTCATTTGTCCTGACTTTCAGGCCCCAGTACTTTAAGATCATTGAAGAGTGTGTGTCTCAAATTGTGCTCCACCGAAGTGGCACTGACCCCGACTTCAGTTACCGCAAGCGCCTGGATGTGGACTTCAGCCACCTCTTAGGTAAGTCACATACCTTTAGCAGTTTATTTACATTCTAGATATTTCAATAAAACGTAAATGATTTTTATTCTATTTGATTTATTTATTTTGGCTTTTGTTTTCAGAGGTGTGTGTAGATAAAGCTCGAACTGATGAGTATGAACAAAGAGCTTCAGAACTGGCACAGAAGGCAAGTATTGACAAAAAAATAACAATTTTCATCCCACTGCTTATCCACCTGGACAAAGCAAAACCTACTGAGGCATTCTGGCATCAATTCTAATTTGTTCCATAAAATCTGGTTAGATAAAACATTAATAATATGAAGTAAACATAACACTGACAATTCGTTGCGGCTTGTATTCTAAAAATCCCAAAGTAAGACCATAGCAGTAACTTCAGAGCCAAACAAACTAAAAAGTGCAGTCATCACTTAGCAGTAAGTGACATGGATTTAAAATTCTCTCTGATTCTTTTACAAACGCAAAAAAAAAAAGATCTCTTTTGAAAGTCAGACTGAATGACATCTTGCTTTACAATGCTAAAATCCCATATTACAAAATTGGAAACCATGGAAACCAAACATTTTTGTAATGCAAGGTAAAGAGTACTTGTTGTCAGTAACAATTGTACATATGCCAGAGATTTTTTCAGCATGACAACTGTGATGTAGAAAAATGTCTTGTTTCTATATCACTGTAGATGAAAATGTGAAATGTGTGAAGTCACATGGATTGGCTGCTGTGATTAATTGAAGTTGGGGTAGCAGCAGGTTAGAGATCCTGATTAGAAGGGATTGATTGACTTTTGTGTGTGGTAAGGGTTTTATTAATGAATGGGTGTTTTACAAAAGGTTAGAATTCAATCAGTAAATGAAGGTAATCAAGGTAAAATGAGTGTTGATTATATAAGATAATTATACCATTAGGTTTAAACAATTTTAATGAACACTGCTTATGTTAATTCCCAGTTACATTAATTCAATATCAGTGTGTGCTTGTGTGATTCATTTGGTGTTTCTCTTTTTAGTTTGATGAGGAGTTTCTAAGCAGACAGGAGGCACAAACTCAGCTGGTTAAGTGTGAAGAAAAAATAGCTGACCTCCAAGCAGAGCTGCAGGCCTTCAGGTCCCAGGTACATGACTGTTTTTGTTGTCAGTGTCAATTTTTTTAAATTGTGTTAATTCTTTGGGGGGGGGAGACACTATATTTGATTATTCAACCAACCCCTCCTAAATCTAGCATGGAATGATTCAGCTGTCTCTTTCTACTTTCCATTATGAGACGTTCTATTTATTCTGGGGTGCATGGTGCGTAGGGTGGGGATTTTATTCACTGGAGCCTGCAGTTTGGTTTGACATGGAGGCTGCTCCACTGGCTAGCTGACACTAAGTCTAATGAGAACACTGACCAGTCCTCCATGTTGGCCATTTCTGATTCTCTGATCTTTATCCCAAAAGAGGAAATTGTTCTAAAAGCAATTTATTCTGACAACCCCCTTCAACTTTACTGCTGGGCCACTCCTCAACCCCCCCAACACTCCAGAGAGTTGCTCCTATGCCCTGGCACTGCAAGATAACTACACACTCAGAGGGGGAAAGAGAAGTTCCTATTTATTTTCCCGATAATTTTTCAATTTAAGAGAGCAAACACAGAATGAATACTCAAATAGTACCATGGTTCAAATTACGGTGGTACATTTAACCAAGGCGGGTACATACACACACACTTTGTCTCACTGTCTTTGTCTGTCTGTGTCAGCCTAACTCTCACCAACACACACTATTGTTAATTCAGCAAAGGTGTCCTTCCCTCTAGAGGCAGTGGCAGAGTAAGGGCCCAGGGCTGACCTTTCTTTAATCTAAAACTGGTGCATGGATCAATAAGCCATTTTATCATACAATTTACGAAGCTTTGTAGCCCCGGTTATAACATTTGATTTTTAGCTTTGGAAAAAAGCTAATTATTGTGGCCATGTTCTGGAAAGAATCTAGACTGTTCATGAGCATTTGGCCTCTGCTGGACGGTTGAGGGAACACGCCTCCATTATTCGTAACTCAGTGGTGTTAGAGAGGAAAGCATACTGTGCTACACACTTGGCAGATCCTATAGTTTGTCTGCTTCCATTTTTTTTCTTTCCAGTTTCGCTTGTTTTTGTTTTTTCATCATAAATTCTACGTTTATTTTATTATTTTATTTTTAAGTCCAGGTGAAATGGGAATCAGAGAGCTGTTTGTTCCTACACATTTACGTATTTCCTGTTAAAAGTTAGGGAGGGACTTGTCGTGGTAGCCAATAGCGCTGTGTGTTACATCCCCCCGGTCCAGCAGCTGTAGTGGCCCTATTAGCTGACTCTGCGCCACCTGGAAGCTCTCAGTAAAAAGCCTGTCTAGACTGAGACTTAATACAGCATCTCATACCGAAATAGGGCAGTTTAATGTCAGGGAATAAAGAACTGAGGAGTTTTAATTGCTGATTTTGCCACCCCGGGGCTAAGTTGGCCAACGTTAGCTAACGTTAGCTGCACGAGCGAAGAGCAGAGCAGCCAGAGGACACCAGAAAGAAAACCAGACAATATGTGCTTTTCTACAAGTGATAATGCTGTGTTTTTATACAACAATCAGTGAGGTCCGAACACCAGAAACACTCCACTCTGGTAGCTAGTCAACAAATGAATCTTTGCTCTGTGTCGCTAAAAGTTGAAGATTGATTGACAGGTGAATGGCATTGACAGTTTAATGCTTACGTACATACGCGTAACATTTTGTTTTATAGGAAGACAAAATTAAATATTGGCATTTAAAATGGAGGTACAATATAACTGAGGATGCAATCTTAGAGGGTTAAAATGACGCAATGGCGGCTCGCCTTACAGCTAAACAGTACACTAAAATATGTTTCTGAAACTATTTTAAATGAGAAATAGTCAACGCAGTAACAGAATCTTGCTTCGTGTCTGAACAGCACTGCCTAGTTTTGATCTGAGTTTGGTGCGTTGAACTGGAC